GAAAAATATATATTTTCGAGTCACTATATTTCGTACATTGAGCACGAAAACCTCTAGCAAAGGTTACGCACAAGAAGCATCCAGACACAATCGACTGGGAAGCCAGATATGGTCAAGTAAGGCCGTAACTGATGAAGGTTATTTCCTGAAGCCATCACTCCACGTACGAGAATCCACTCCTTTTACTTATCCGCTGGGATGGCGCGTTGTCCTAACGAAATCTTACCAGCTGTTCGTACGCCAAGCCGTGCTCCCTGCTTTGCTACAACTCGCACACATTCCTATCAGAACAGCAGGCGGGATCTGCTCACTTAAAACGGGACATCGCAGTGTTCTAACCAACACACATGTGAACACTAGCAATCAGACATATCCGAAACCTATTCAAAAAAAGATTATTAGCACAGCAAAAACGCCCATAGCTCAAATGCACAAACTCGCTGAGCTGCCGGCATTCTGACGGAATGACGATTCTGCATAGACTGAACACTTGTGGCTGAGTCTCGACGGGTGGAGGTACATTACTACAAACATGCAATGCCTGACTGACTCTTGGCGACTGGAGGTGCATCACAATAAACATGGAATACCTGTAAGAATAATTCTTCAGGCATACTTTCTGGAGAGTACGTCAATACTTGAGAGAGATGCTGACTACCTCAAACGTCCATATTGAGCTAAAGCTTTCTGACCACAAGAACACGAAGACCCTTGTGTTACACTGCAATGTTCCTTTTCCCAGCGCGGAAGTTCCGAACTGTAATAATTTCATCGAACCACTGGTGCTGACATTATTACAGTCCGGAACTTCGGCATAATTTCATCGAACCACTGGTGTTGATATTATTACAGTCCGGAACTTCGGCGCTGCGAAAAGGACCACGTATTCACCAGTCGTTCGATTAGGGAGCATAGGGGGTCAATGCGACCATGAAAATGCCATATAATATAGCGTACGAGGTGCTTCCAGGTCCAGAAAACATTCGTACTTGTTGATGGGAATACGGTGGACTACACGCCTGAATTTCTCTGAGCTTTCCAGCCCAGTACGCTGGACCTAGTTGGACGATGTCATCTGGAGCAATGGTAGGCTAGAGCACAATCTAGCAGCCTCAACATCCAGGCATGAAAGCAAGCATTGATGGGGATGCCAAATTGTGCAAATTACCTACCTACGACCTATGTGTTTCTTGTGGTGCTTTTATAATTTAATTGTTCGCGATGCCTTACAATGCAAGGCAATGTGTGTTTGTTGCGCAAAAGCATTCTTGGCATCTCCGTGCTACGCGCCCAAAGGCCTCTATCCCCATACGCCTTGTTACACTCACCTCAGCAATTGCAGGCGACCAAACACTCTCACTTCGGAGCAATAAAACCGAATTGTCCTGCAGCTTTGTCGTTGCGCAAGCGTTTAACGACGAGCCTTTAGAGAGCACATGAATCGGTTCGTCGACAATGTGACGGCCTGTATTTGTCGCCTAGCGATAGTGCGAGGATTAAGATATATGATCCAACACGCAGCAGCAAAGATCCTTATACAGGATGATGAGCTGGTACTTACGTCGTCTTATCAGCACGTGAAGGATAGGGCATGTAGTGGGAAACAAGTGTAGAGTATGCTTACCGCCTGAATCTCCGGTGCCACAGTACGGGGGGCACTAGCAGTTGGGTACACATGGTGCCTGCTATGAACAACGTGTCCGCCTGACACCTGGACGATCTACGGAAAAGTGCAACTGCGGGTAAAGCCCTCTAATTCCACAACCGTGCAAGCAACACAGCAGGAACAGTCCTTAACTGGGTGGAGCTGCATTGACCCTTTACGGTTCACCCGGCTGTGACACCCATTAAACCACGGGAAACGTGTTCGAGGCGTATGCACAATTCGACAGTGCTTTGTACGCGAGACCGGAAGCGCCGCATAGGAGCATTCCCCATATGTGGCTGCTCCCTTTATGGGCTTTACGGTTAGCCCCCTGCAAGCTTTTTATATTCCGTGAGGCTCTTGTTGCAGCAAGAATACGTTTGTTGTTCAACGTTACACACCAGATAGGTAGCCAGTGCATCGTACTGGTTATTTAGCGAGCCTAGAAGAGCGGAGAGTGCATGGTAAAAGCAAGGCAGTGTTGCACGATGTTTAACACGTTCTCTATCATTTTAAAGACTATATAGGCGACCTGCTGCACCATGAACCTTTGCAGTTCAGAAGAAACTTCCACAAGGGCGTACGCTGCGCCGCAAGACAGATTGGTGCAGTTGAATGTCAGCACCGTCTTAAACGTTCCAAAGACGCCGATGGTGCATACGCATTCGCGCCGCGCACATCCTGGGCGAACATGGAGATCCCAGCGAGACCAATCACGGTTGTAGACCATTTCGAAGTGGTCCTCCTACCGGAACCAACAAGCCTAAATTCGAAACCTACACATCTGCAGATTCTTGCAACGTTGCAGAGAACTGCAACGACGCCGCAGCGCACAAACGTTGGGGCAAAGTGCCAAGGAAATTCGATTCCTTGCTAACCGCGCCTCAGTACTACGCTGGAAACCAGTGGCTCGCTGCAAAAGGAAGGACTGCAATGTCGGTCGGACAAGGCACATAATGTTGGTTGCAGCCAATTCTCCAGATATACGCACCACCTGGACGATTTTGAGGCGACGCATCTTAACGTCTCAGTCACAGCAGGCATTGCAGCAAATCACAATATCCGCGGGCCTTTGGAAATGCGAGTTCAGGTTTTGCACGCCAAGAGCAGCTGTTAGCCGGCCCAAAAGATTGTCTGCACATTATCTGCGCGGTGATATGACGACCATTTTGCGAAGCTTTCCTGTGAAAACGAGCAGGGGTAGCCTTTGCGGATGACTGCAAATGCGACGTCCCCGTAAAACCGAGCGTCAAAGAGAGACATCGTGTGAGAATCCCAGACACCTGTAGTGTTTTGGGGAACACCGCCCCAGCTGAGCAGTCGACAGAGGAATTGAGCTGCGCTTTTTCAGAACAGAGTACAGAAAATGGCTATTATATGGTGCACATCCAAGACGAAGCGAAACATTATTTTGCCTCATGGATACCACTAGGGTGGATGCCTGCCAAGCTGTTCTATCTAGCTCATTGCAACCTACCGAAAGTTTCGAAAGTGTGAGATGCTGCCTTCAAAGCGTACTTCCTGATATTTGGAATACCTGACCGCCCACACTTAACTGTTCAGCAAGCGCCCTGCAAGCTGCGTGTCCAGGCTCTATAGGCACCAACTGCACCGTACTCCGACACGGCAGTGTCGGAGCACGGTGCTACGGCAATCAAATGGAACGGACTGGGCGTGTGTCTAGAACACATTTGCATCCTGAACCATCTAACGGTACGAACGGGTTGCTCGTACGCCAGGGCAAACGGCCACATTTGACCTAGAAGGCGCTTCAAATATATCGCAGTGTATAACCTCCCTAAATGGTGCGGCAGTACCTCACTGGTGTGTAGGAACACGCTGGCATACAGGTTCCCTTCACTTCACACGTACAGTGGTGAAGGAGATCTCCACGGGAATGTTAAGCTTCATTCCCTCAGAGAACCGCAAGGTGCATCAGAAGCGCTGGCGCGTTGACTCTCTGATGCACCTTCCTGTGCTTTGCGCTGGCGCGGAGACTCTCAAAGTTGGCATCAGCATTTGCAGTCCGAATGTCTTGACATCTTGGCTTTTTCGCGCACGTGGAAAGCAGACCTTCAGCCTCCTCTCAGCTGCAGGTGACCGGCCACGCACGAGAATTGGTGTGGGTGCGTGAGGGCATTCCTGAGTGAAGCGCGTCTTCCCTGCCAACAAAGCTTAAACACCAAATCAGGACTGTCCAACCAACTGCAAGCGCCGCGGGGGACGGAATGTTCTGCACCTCAACTACTCGGGTGTAGCGGAAAACAATGCCTGCAAGGACGTCAGTAACACCGAAACGAACAGAACACCAGCAATAGGTTTGGCAACGTTTTGGACAGCTGGTGGATGAGGTATGTTTCTGTGATATTGATTGCCTTGTTGGCGACGATGCATAGTTAGCGCCTGCTAAATTGTTCTAATCAGCGCTATGTGCTTGATGCAGCTCGGGAGGACAACGTGACACATCCGCCTGTTCCGCCACAAGGCGAGGTGCAGCTAGAGCACATCGAGGATGTGCAAACCAACCACGCAAACCGGACTGACGCGAGACACTGAGCCCTAGTATATATGGCCCCCTTCGGACAAAGGGCTCAAGCAATATAACAGTAATTCCGTTACACAAAAAGTACGACAGCCACCAGCAGTCAGAGACCGCGATGGGATAATTGTGATAGATATGCTCGTGGGGCATCAACAACCTTTGACTGGAGGAAGTCTATCGATGCACAAGATCATATCCAACGGCATAATGCCACCTCCCCAAATCTGGATGCGCAGCGACCTCCGTGCTCTAGAGTTTTCAGAGGACCAAAGAACGTGCGAACGTAACCAGGGTATGCCAATGTCAGTCCTAAATTTAGACGTTCTATCGAGCGCGAGACCTACTTCCTTTGCCTGCATAGGTGTTGTTGCAGCGTAAGCACTCCGGAGATGAAGAATTTATCTGGTGAAGTGTCGTCGCGCATTTAACAAGAAAAAGCGTCAAGCTCTAGCAGCAAGTGCTAGTATCGAGGAAACGTTTCGTGACCTTTTGGCTATCGCATTTATGGTTGCTGCACTCACACACTGCTCTGCAAGTGACCACTAATAACTGTCCATTGAAGAACCGCAAAGTAGTCCATATCGAAAAGGCCTCTACGTCAGGCTCAACTGACGAGCCGCAACACTCCAAATACTCCCAGTGCAATACAGCTGAACGCGTTAGTTCGGTCTGCAGCACAGCCCGCAAGCTACCATGCACTCTATCGTGAAGAAGGCAGCATGGTCAGGAAATATCTATATCAAAGGACCGTTGCTAAGAAAGATATGGAGACAGCTCCGTATCATGGGGTGACGTCTCTGTGTATTATGGATGCAAGACCACATGGAGTGCTCCAGGGAAAATCAGGAAAATATGCAGATCTAGGTGGCAAAAGCATTGCAGCCAACGCTGTTCGGACGGCGTCTATGGCTGATACACAAATGCAGCATTACACATCAATAACACAAGAAATCCATCGACGTTAACCAAGCTACAAATTGGCTTACAGCCTGGTTGTGCGCAGCTTCGTGCGCCATAAGATTTGGGCCTCGCTGAACGGCCACATTCTTCTCTATACCGCGCCAGAATTAAACAACTTTTGCGGAGCCACCAAATATTGTCAGACAAAGTAGATAAACAACAGGTATGAAGTTCATTTTAAGCAATAACGGCACGATAGTAATGTCATAATAATTCTGTCTCCCTGTGGCGCTACATGGCATCAATTGCCTTGATTTGAATCCCCTTTTTCTGTGTATAGGGTGTTGAAGCTTCTAAACGCCCCCGAACAACATTTGAGTAGACCCATCTCAATGTATGCTGGTGTCGACTGCAATTAATGCGGCCAGTAACCAGGCCTTCAAACATTAGGATACAGTTATGCATAATGTGGACTGCTTCCGCATCCAAATTAACAGACTGCCAGCGCCGCTGCAATACAAGCGCCTTATCGAGTCAGTCCAATTGAAACATACGGTCTGTGCAGTAGGGATGCGACGCCCCGAGGAATGCTGTCGGAACACAGGGGAAAATAGGGCTTTGCAAGGCCGCTGTATTGCCTCGACAACTCACAAGCTGCCTCAAGCAGAAGCAAATGTGTCCTTTAATCTCCCTTAACCCACATTTTAAATCTCGACTGTTGCAATGTTTATAGTTCGACGGAAAAGCGCCTTGGAAGGGTTCCTTTTTCCAGTAACAAGTCCTTCAGATGTTAGGGCAGAGTGAGGCATGAAGCGCTCTGCATTCGCAAGCAAACCTACAGAAGGTCTGAGAAGCTGCGGTAGGAATATTGCTTGTAGTTACTCTCAGTGAAACATACGATCTGTGCATTAGGGATAAACGTATCCAGGGAATGCTCTCCTAACACATGGTAGAATGCATCTGCATTCTTCTGAGTTGCTGCATCTGGTCGTATGCTTTTTACGCTTGAAAGACGAATGGAACCATCAAGTGTTAATTTGGAGAAACCCAACGATCCCCACACCAAAAACGTACAACCTGGATGTGCGTTGCTCTTCTACGAGAATGCAGGCTGACGCGGTACTGACCTGTTAAATAGGTTCAAATGATTGTGAAGCTGCAACACGAAAGCTGAAACGCTTTTGGAAAGGTACCAAAAGCCGTCGGATAGGAGTGACACAACCGCTACTTTCATCCGTCGAAAATGGTACCCGGTACCCGGTTGTGTCCCTCCTATCCGACGGTGTTTGGTAAAGTAGCGTCCACCAATTGATTGCGTATATCCTGAAGAGGAACGCTATCCCATATCGGCAAAACCTTTCCCACACAAGGTCTGGAACCGAATACCCACTGCGAAACCAAAATTGTATCGTGGATAAACACTACGTATACCTACTCCCCGGAGAATGTTAAAACAAAATACGTTTCCATGTATAACGTTCAGGGTTTCCAGTGATGCATGCAGTTCGTGTGTCTCACAAACTTGTGGAAACGCGCAATGTAGGGAATACTTTCTTCACAATTTAACTCTGTTGTTGTAAGACGCTTTGGCCCTGAAGCGACGACGATAGAGAAATTTAGCGCCCCTCAACCCACTCCTTTAAAGCCGTCTAATTACTGTAGGCCTGACTGCCTGCATTCATTAGCAGCACCTGGTCTGATGAGTGCACGATTATATAACGCACGCACTAGGGGACGTGGGCGAAGGGGTGGCCAATAACCCCTTTTTCTCCTCCTGTCTCCCTCCGGTGCTGACAGCTAGAGATACGCGCAGGCAAAAGCTCAGTGGCTTGAGCACCGGAGCGTGCGCAAGTCTGTACGCATGAAGTCACGACACAGGCGTTAAATCGGTTTTATTTCGCCGAAAAAACCGTGCTAAGCTTATCAAGTGTACACTGAAGGCCTTATTAGGTAAAAACGGAAACTGCATCGCACGTTCTGTTTTTACGTCAAGGAACTCGCTTGTGTCTCGCGGTCAGCCAGTCTAGCTTTGGCCGTTAAACCCAGTGCCATTTAAACCTTGTGTTTAGCGCTTCAGACAACATATCTGGGTCCACGCAGCTGCGGGACTGTTTGTTTTTCTGCTCACAAAGTCCCTGCGTACAATGAAAAACCAATCCCATCGCAGCTCACGACCTGTATCACCAATGCGTTACCACGAAGTGAAGACATTACGCAGCTGAGGGACAGCGTCTGTCTTTAGCTTTTGTTGCCTGCTATTCAACCAACTCGGATTCACGACGTCACTAGAAACCAACGCAATCCGTGCAGGCCAAAAGTGTCCATGTTTGCTTAATTTCATGTCGCATACCAGCTGATTTAGCATGGCACTGCGCATCTGAGGTGTAGTTTGAACGGTGGGGTATAAAAATGTTTGCAGTGAAAGGCAAACTACAAACTTTTCAGCTTTTGAATGAGTAGACATGCGAGCCGCAGGCCCACTTTTGTTGTTCAACGGCACGCATCTATGGAGAGAAGGCAGCGTGAATATCAGTTACTCTGAAATGCTGACAAGACAGGGAACAACACAAGGGCAA